GGACTAGTCTTGTTGCGCCTATCTATTGGTCTCGTGCCAGCCGCTGAAAACCCTCAAGGTTTCGCGTTTAGGCTTTCGTGCTTTCTCCGCCTCTGGGTCGGCGGACTGAGCCGGAGGCTCTTAAGTCCTTAGTAGTTTCCATGTAATTTTCCAGTATCCCTATATGATCCCCATATAATATAACAACAGCATGTTTGCATTCAGTCTTGTTGGGGCGTTTAGGCTTTGTCCCTAGGATCGCTTCGCGGGTGTCCTGGGCTTCCGGGAGCACCTTCTGGAGAGGGCTCCTATCAACCCTATGTGGTGGTTCCCTACATGGCGGTTTCTTACTGGGTTAGAAGGGAGTAAGGGAATGTAGTATATCAGGATTTAGAGTTAGCGGGGAGCCTGGGAATACATCATATAGGGATTATTTGGGCATCATATTCCCTATGTCCTACTAAGGCCCAGTAAGGTTGTGATATTGGACTTCGCAAACAATCCTATCTTGACACAACCCATCGTGGGTGCAAAATGGAGATCAGAATATGGCCGTCAGGGGTCTCTAAACTTGGCATCCATTGAGCACGATTTGGCTTGGGTTGGGACCAGGATCAGGTTGGTAGTGCAGCCACGCATGGCTGGGAAGACCTTTTTGCTGAGCCACCAGCCTCCAGTGAGCAGGCTTCTGGAGGAGGGTGGACACAAGTGGAGGAGGCGTTCCTGATCCCGAGCCTTCGTGGGGCTGACTGACCACTTGCCGCCCACACTTTTGCCCCTCCATGTTTGGCATCCTGTCTCTTGCCGATGTTTGTCCCATTCTTGGCAACCATTGGGCATCCCTATGCATCCCTCCATTTCTGGACACAGATTTTGGACGTCTCGAACAAGAGGGTTGCCCCTTCATTTTCCCTCTAATCTTAAAAGAAAATGGAGGGGCAGCCCTCTTTTTCGATAAGCTGATAAACTCAGGAATGGACGCCCAGAAATGGAAGGGCAAAAAATAGATGCCACAAATGGAGGGGCAAAACCGTGGGCGGCAAATGGGCGCCAAAAAATGGATGCCGGGGGGAAGGGGGTGACTACCCGGCCGCCTAGGCGCAGCGTCTGAGCTTACTTGTGCCCGTGCAGCAGTCAGCAGCAAAACAACATCCCTAAACCCTAATGTAGACCCATGATTAATAAACCCCCTCCTTTTGATGGCCTAAATATTAGGATCCCTATTATAATGCCTATTAAGGGGAGGGGGTTTATTAATCATGGGTCTACATTAAACCCTAAACCCATTAGCTAGGAGACTCCAGGCCTGCCAACTCACCCGAGGCGACTCTTGGATTAGCACTCATTCTCATAGGGTTTACGTAGGTTTAGGGTTTAGGGTCTCCAAAATGGAGGGCCAGTTGCATCCATTTCAGGCATCCATTTTTCCGTAACTGCCGAGTTGCCGACGTCCATTCCTTGTTATCTTTACCTACTTTGGAGATCATAACAGTAAGGTTTCTCAACATTGAGGCCGCAGGGTGTTGGGTGGGGAGGGGGGTCATCATCTTGAGACATACCCACATCTCCGGAAGGTGTCCCATATAGCAGACACCATCATTTGCATGTGAGCTATAGTCTAAACTTCAAATTTCCCCCTTAATGCCCCACCAAATAATCCCCGACAAGACTATAGCTCACCTGGCGCTATGGGCGCCTTCATGGCCTTGGATCGCAGCCCTATAAATGAGGGCAGCTTCCATTTCATTATCCATGCTCGTCTCTATTTGATTCTCCATTGTTGGGCGAATTTCCCAAACCTCAAACTTTCAAGATCTCGGTGGGGGCCTTGATTTCGGAAAACTGGCAACTTCGCTATACTGTGCTATTCTATGCCCTGCTGGGGAGCTTCAGAGTACAGTTCATGCTATCCGCAACAAGCCAAAATGCATGAAGCGCCTGGTGAAGGGATCGCAATCCGTGACGAAGATGCTACGGCCGTAAATCTGCAGGACTGAGCCAACACGGATATCCTGCAAGCGGCACTTGCAGCATCCAGCGCTTCTGCTTTATTGTTCAAAGGCGAAGTGATACTCTGCTGCACGGGCCTCCACACTCTATAGTTACTAATATCGTCTGGAGGCCTCCTTGAGGTACCAATGGGATGCAAAAACCAAAGACAAGAAAGCTAGAACCAGTCTGTCGATACTTATTCAAACGTCTGCACTACATAACCCCTGGAAAAACCGTACATAAACCTAGCTTCCATTTCACTATCCATTTGCTTGTCTATTTGATTCTCCACCATTTGGGTAATATCCCTATATGTTCCTCCAGTATCCCTGCAATAATGAAAACCTTTAAGTAGCATCCTGCCATGACTGCCTGCTGAAGTTTAAGCAGAGATTTGAACCCCGGAGCTGGGATCAAAACCACTCAGGGGTCTCATGCGAAGAATCTCTAGAATTAGGGTTTAAGGTTTAGGGTGTGGGGTATCCGTTACCTGACTCACAATAACCCTAAGCCCTAGCCGCTAGCCCCCAAGGAGGTAGCCCAGAGCCGAGGAAACACACCCTCGAAGGTTGCCATATCGGTCCCTACAGTGGGATTCCTGAAATAATGAGGGTCACTATATGAGCTGAGCAGCTGTCTAAACTCCTACTATCCCCATTAATAGCCCCTATAGTAGTTCCCTATTTAATCCTCTATATAACCACCTTTAAGAAGTTTAGATCCTATCCCCATTAATAGCCCCTATAGTAGTTCCCTATGTAATCCTGTATATAACCACCTTTAAGAAGTTTAGATCGTGGCTCATATAAATGTCCTCCATTTCGGGGACACGCCAAGTTCTCCCCTAAACCCTAAACCCTAAACCCTAATCCCCAAATCCTAAACCCTAAATCCTAAACCCTAAACCCTAAACCCTAAATCCCCTAAGCTCTTTGGAGAAAGCCCGTCCTCGGTCTTGAGGTAGCCGCCGTCGGAAGAGGGGAAGCGATGTCGTCGGATGAGCTGGCCTGAGTTTTTGGGTTTAGGGCTTAGGGTTTAGGGTTTAGGGTGTTTAGGGCTTAGGGTTTAGGGTTTAGGGTTTGGGGTTTAGGGTTTAGGGTCTAGGGCCCAAAAGTATGTAAAATAATAGCCCTAAACCTCTAATAATAGCCATAAAGGCCATTATTTTACATACTTTTGGGGTCCAGGTAAGGCTTTACAAGGTGATACAGGGATATTGTGGGGATATTGGGGAATGGAAAAAGAAAATGGAAACTACTATTTAGGGTTTAGGGTTTAGGGGTTTAGGGTCTTAGGGTGTTTAAGGGTTTGGGTTGGAGTGCTGAGGATTTCAGGGACTTGTAAGGATTCTAAAGGGAATTATGCGGATTCTCTGGGGCCTTCTAGCGATTATGGAAAAATCATGTAGGGCTTTAAGCTAATTCTTATGAGGATTTAGGGTTGAGAGTTTCCGAAAAGGGCTACTGGAACATGTAAGTTGTTTTAAGTAAAGGCTCAAGAAACGCATCTGAAGGTACCCCGATGACTCAACACCCACGCCTTAAATACTTGCAAGGGCGGCTTCGAGGTCTGCCTAACGGTACGGAAAAGCATAATTATACTAGCAATCTAGGACCATCATATTATATTGGTAATAACTCAGGCTTCTACAGTACACCTGACCTCCCAAAAAGCAAAGCTGTCGCCCCTTAGACTCTCATCCCAATGAACTGGATGACACATCCTGTAACCCCACTACTCCCCGCAATCCGCTACCTCTCCCCAATCTAACCTACACCTCCTGAAGGTGTCAATCCCCACCCCCCATTTCTCCTGCCTAAACCCCTGCCCCAAACCTCAAATCCTACGCTCAGAACCCCTAAATCCTAAACCTGAGTTCAAGTTGCTTCCATTTCATGTGACATCTGGTTTTCCATGTGATCCTCCACTTTGAGGCTCAACCAAAGTCCTCATCCATAAAAACGGTAATCCAAAAGAAGCCAAATATAGCACCCAAAAATACTAGAATCACAGTCCTTCTGCAGACCCCAAGAATGTACGTACCCGTGACTGAGGGAAACCCTAAACCCAAAACTTTTATTTCCCGATAAAACCCATATATGTCCCCTATGACCTTTTAAAAGTACCCCTAGTTTTGGGAACACCTCAAATCTACCCTTCTAAACCCCAAGCCCTGAACCCTAAGCCCGAAATTCCAAACCCCAAGACGTCGGCCTTGCGGTATGCCGCTGTTGTCCTGCTTGGGCTCGATGATCTGAGCAGTATCATCCTGGCCGAAGCTCAAGTTCAGGGGGGACCTCAAGGGTTTAGGTTTAGGGTTTAGGGGTTTAGGGCTTATGGGTTTAGGGGCTTAGGGTTTGGGGGCCTATAAACAAGAGCTCTATGGCTTTTATCAAGATTCCATAGGGATTAAGGGCAGCAACAAAAAGAAGAAGAACAAGAACAAATCCAAGGCTGCCCCTGTGTAGGGGTACATAAGGGTCTCGGGTTTCGGGGGCCAGGTTCGAGTATGGTTTCCTATTTTTTTTGGCAGGCCCTTCTCCTCCTGCAACGCAGCAGTCGGAATGCTGTTTTCCGGGGAGGTTCAGGGTTCAGGGGTGTGTGAACTCATGCTTAAGACTCAGAACTGCTGCGACTGGTTTCAAACATTGCTTTGTAGGGTCTAGCTGTGATTTTACAGAGGCTACCAAAACCAAAGTTTCCTCCTAGCGTCTTCACGAAGGCGGCACCCTCAACTTGTCTCCAGCTAATGCGTCCTGCAGTAGGGCGACGCACCTAAGTGGCGCCTCCACTACGTTGACACTCCAAATAACTACCGCATCCACTAGGGCGATACCCCTAACCACTGTCTCCGCTAAGGCAGTACCCCCAACAACTGCCTGCACTCGGGCAAGGCTCACAAACCACTAGTAAAAGAAGGCTCCATGCACAAATTGTTGCAGGATCTTGGCTTCACGCATGCCCCATGCCAGAGACACGAAACCTGCGGGCGCTAGTTTGTTGTCGATCACAAACCTGCGCGAATCTTTAGCAACAGGTCAACGTGATGATCTGAACTAGCAGGGTCTGTGGCTCACTCCGCAGTCTGCCCATTAGAAAGAAGACAAACTCAGCAGTCTCATCTGCTGTGGCTTCGGGCTCCTGACGGAAACTAGACATGTTCAACCGATGTACGCAACATGTCAGAATGATGCTTGCGAAGAACCACCATCACTCCGACCATCCGCAGGCACAGTTTTCCTAAGTCCGGTTGTGAGGTCTTGAAAGTCTTGCTCATCGAGAGCGCAGCTTCGAAGAAAGATGGCAGGACGCTCACACGCGACTTCAATTTCAAAGAAACATGTGAAAACGCTCTACGCAAGAGCTTGATGTCGCGTTGAAATGTGAGGGCGCTCCATGCCGGAGAGCAACCTTGAATTTTCATGGACAGACGCTCCACGATAGAACTCACATGCGAGGATGCTCCATGAAAGAACTCGATTTCGCATGAGGATGTTGCACGCCAAAGCGCAATCTTGAGTAAAACTGCGAGGGGAATCCAGGCAACAACACAAATTTGAAGACAGATGAATGTGAGGGCGCTCCATGCTGAGAACATGCGGTTTGTTCGTGTGTGTGTGTGGACCACCTGTTTGCAAAGCTTACATGTGCAGGGGGCCATTCCACCTACTACCAGGGAATGGCCAACGAAGAGCCTGGTAGTATGGTGCTGTAAACGTACCT